AGCGGGAGAGAGAGAGAGAGAGAGAGAGAGAGAGAGAGAGAGAGAGAGAGATCGCCGCGCGCCCCGGCAGCACGCAGCGGCAACAACGGGAAGGCAGGACGAGAGGAGGGCCGGGTCAACAGAGGGGGTACGAAACAGCACCTCGAAAAAAGAAAAAAAAAAACGTCAACATTCTACGACGACTTCCTCCGTCTCCTCTTCCCCCTCTCCCCCCCGCGCTTCGGCCGCAGCGTAGCTGCGGCGGGGTCCACTTGTGTTTATAAAAAAAGAGATTCGCAGCCAAATCCAAGGGAAAAAATGAGAACATTTTTTTTCACAGAAGGATTTTTAACCTTTTTTTCTATCCGGACGGTCTGGAGCGGTCTAGACACAGGTCTGACCAGACGTCTGGACTGGTCCGGTGTTCGAATCCGGCATAACCATGCCACCAATCCGGTACTATCTAATACTGCTTTTTTTATTTTATTTTTTTCAGAGTACCTCCTTTTGCTTTTTCTTTTTTTAAGTGGAAACAGGGAGGAATGTGACGACCCAGTTAATCCAGAGAAATTTCAAGGAAATCTGGCAAAATGGAGAACTCACTTTCCGGACGATCCAGGACTTTAACTCCTACTCAGCAGTTCCGCAGAAAAGGCGGTAATAACGTGCTGTCTGCATAGAATATATCAGATGACTCCGGACATCGGACTGACTGGACTAGGGCTACTATCTCTTAAAAGGCTTCTACACCTGCAGGACTACCCAGGAAAATCTTTCGACGACTGCCTGAGTAAATTTATTCGGAGACGAGCTCCGTCCTGGGACACTTGGGGTAGAAAATAATGTGGTTGGGAGAAATAAAAATCGAAAGGATTTTCTGATCCACGAAATCTGAGGGTAAAACCTAGTTTTCGATAAATCCGAAAGTCTGATCGAAAATGCAGGAACTGTCTGGCCCGCAGTCACACGTGAGCTGTAAAAGAAATGACAGGAAAGGCCTAGATTTTTGAGGGATCTAGTTCTGGGAGCAGGAAGTTTTTCCCCGTAAATCCTAAAGTAAATACAGGACTAGTCGAAACGTTTTTCTTTCTGAAGCGAACTGAACTCACGGGCCACTGAACTGCCGCTTTTTCGGTCTATTATTTTTATTCTGCATTTTCAGGAGGTACTTCGGGAATACGAGAATACAGTAGTAAGAAACCAGGTTACCAGGAGTAGAAGGATGAGGCTCTAGTATTTATTAGGAAGATTTTTTACTTACCCGTCATCTCGGAGTTAGTTTCTCTTTCCCCCCTCCTGATGAGGCTAGATCTGGCTTTAGCCGAAACCGGTAGAAGGAAGCCAGACCATCGCCCGTAGTAGCGAACAATGTTTAACACATACTTGCGGCGCACCTCGGTGCGCGCCTCAGCGCACGGATTGCGCACGCAGCGCACCGCACTGCGCCCCGCACCCGGTGCGGCGCACTCATTTAAACAGGGTCACAAAAAAAAAAAAGGGGGGKGGGGTTTTAGTTCGGTGCCCCCCCGGCCTCCCAAAAATGAAAAATAGGCCGTGCCAGCTTCGAAACCGGCCCCGCCCGCGTCGTGAAGATTTTTTTGGGGGGGAAAGGTCTGCAGGCCTTCCCCCCAAAAAACAAACACTTCGGGCGGGGCCGGTTTCGAAGTCGCCGCTGCCCATTCGTGTGCAGGCTCGTGACGGCCGACCGACGACAACGACGGAGGGAGGAGCCGACGAGGACGACAACGGGGGACGGGGGACTGCCGACTTCGAAACGACGACGGACGACGACGAAGGAGGGAGGAGGGCTGACGAAGGAGGGAGGAGGGGTGACGAGGAGGGCCGCCGACAAGGACAACGACGGGGGACCGTCGACGAGGACGACGACGGCGAAGGAGGGAGGACTGTCGACGAGGACGACGGCGAAGGAGGGAGGAGGGGGCGGCAGCGGCAGTGCGAGCACTCGGCGGCGGGAGGGAGCGGCGGGAGGCAGCGATCACAGTGCGCCGGGCGACGATGGCGGTAGGCACCACCACCTCTCTCTCTCTCTCTCTCTCTCTCTCTCTCTCTCTCTCTCTCTCTCTCTCTCTCACTCACTCACTCT